AACGGAAAGAAGGCGGCGGCGGCGCCAAGAAAGGGAAAGAAGAGAGAGAGAGAAGGGAAGAGAGATAAAACACGGAAGAGTGACAAGGGGAGAGAGGGAAGGGGAGGGCCGGCCGGCGGCAGGGGGCGGCGGAAGGAGAGGGGAAGAAGAGAGAGAGAGAAAGAAGGGAAGAGAGAGAGAAAGAAGGGAAGGGAGAAGGGAACAAAGAGAAGAACGGCCGGCAACGGGAGCGGCGGCGGCGGCAAGGAGAAAATGAAGAAGAAGAAGGCGAGGAGATTAATTTAGGGCACTTATTTGCGACGACAAAGTCGTCGCAAATAAATTTAAAATGTCGTCGCAAATAAAAAATTATTTGCGACGACATTTTCGTCGCAAAAAACACAAACATCGTCGCAAATAAATTTTTTTTCCCGCCCATACTTGCTCGTCAACTAGATTATTTGCGACGACCATGAAACAATGTCGTCGCAAATAATCTGAACTTATTTGCGACGACAAGTCGTCGCAAATATGGCCAATTGTCGTCGGTAAAACGTGGTTTACATTCGCGCCAAAAATCTGCGCCATCGAAATTTGCGCGGTAAAATTATTTGTGACGACAAATAATTTATTAGCGACGACATGTGGATTTTTTTAAACGGGAGTTATTTGCGACGACATGTCGTCGCAAATAGTCTACTTTTTGCGACGACAAATGTCGTCGCAAATGGGCATATTTGTTGTAGTGATATTATCAGCGACCACAAGAGTCATCGCTGAAAAACTACTTTGTTGTAGTATATTACAATACTTCAAACAAGGAAAAATATGTATAGTTTAAAAAGATCCTCTGCCCACGAGAATATCAACACCTGCTCGCTTCCCATTATTGCATGATTTAAAAAGATAACAACATAAACAAAATGTAACATCTTTTAATATGCTATCTTATAACTAATTCGGATATTCGTCAAACCACTTATTTTTCAAATTGACTTGATGGAAAAATATGTTTTGGAGGAAGATAATGAATCTTTTACATATATTTGCTTTGAAGTAATTGGTCTCGAAACATTAAGATTGCAATACATTAATATTGAAGGCCTCGACCGAGGAACTGTTGGGAGTTATGCAAAGTTGTTTCCACTCTACTAAATTTTGTAGCTTTTTCATTTTGAAGCAAGTGTAGTCTCTAGACTTTATTTTGAAATATTTCTCCATTACTGTTAAATAGGGTTTAAATAATTAGTTTTAATCATTTAACAATTCACATATATCTTAGAAAAATATAAACAAAACTTAGCTTCTTAACTATTTTTTTTCTTTGGCATTGATTCCAAAGTTTCAACTGCATTTTTTCATTTTTTTCTCCTTCTCAGATTTATAGAGATTTCTCAATTCTCAATAGTATATATTAATTATAAACGCTTTTAGCAAAAGATTGTAATAAACCTCTCAAAATAAATGTATATGTTAATGCAAATTGTTTGTGCGATTAAGACCATCCATAGTTGTCGAAAGCATTAGCAATAATTCAAACTAAGAGAAGTATCTATATAAGGGAAAAAATAAAAACTATACATATAAGTGGAAAAAAACAGAGAAGAAAAAAAAGAAAAAAAAAAAGAAAGCAGACATTTTTGCATAGCAACTTGTTCTCGGTTTTTGGGCTTTTGTTCTCAAATTGTAACTAGTGAGATTTTTGTGCGGGCATCCTTTGAAATAGTTGATTTTGAATGTGGGCAAAACAATAAAACTAAACATTTTTAGAAAATATATATATTTTCAGAAAATTACAGTAGAGGCAGCAGCCCCCAACTCCGCCCTATATTACCTCCGCCACTGACCCTTTCTTTTCATTTACTTAAAAAATAAAAACAAGAATTAATACAGTTGAGTTAAAAAATAAAAAATAAAAACTTCTCCGGTAGGATAAAAAAAATAAATGATCAGTATTCTCTATTTTCAACTATTTTCAACCGTTAAATCTGTTTATGAAATTCTTTATTCTGTGTATTTTTTTAATATGATTTAATTTTAACATTATCTAATAGTAAAAAACTAACATTACCTGGTAGACCAAAATTCCCTAAAAAAATAATGAATAAATAAAGTCAAAGAAGTTGAAATGGCCTTTGAGATGGAAAGTTTTGACCATGTACCTGTGTCTTACCTAGAGACGTAGAGCTCCAGGGTAACATGGCAAAGAAGTTTCAAATTGCCGTGACGCAATTGTACGCGGACGTGTAATTTTAACAGTGCCCATCTTATGACAATTAAGGCCAATAAAATTCACAGTTTCGTTATTATGATGCCATTTGTTTAATTTCTTGACTATATATATATATATATATATGTATATATCTTCATATTTGCGTTTCTAATATTCACGCCGCCAACTCTTCAAACGCAGTTTTTTTTCCAAAATTTGGCCAAGTTAAGAAGTATGTATTATAACGAGACCCTTAATTACCCACACGGCACGTAAAATTCCGTTGTACAATTTGACCATAGACTTTGATTCCAAATCTAATTTGGTCCATAAATCTCATCTAAAAAATTTACAATATTCTAATCACACCCACGACATTTATAACTACCATGTCCTATAAATACTAATGAATACCATGTGCTATTGTTGCCACATATAAGAATTCATCACAAAATCCAAAATAACGAAACCAAACAAAACAAATATTTTCTTATATCTCTGTTGCCATGAAGCTGACCGGAACCCTAGTTATCTGCACATGGCTTCTCGTGGCATGGCAGCCACGGCTGACGATGTTGCCGTCCTCGACACCTCCGGCCAGCCTCTCCTCCGCGGTGTGGAGTACTACATCAAGCCCGCCGTCACCGGAGATGGCGGCAACTTCACCCTGGTTGACCGGAATGGCTCGTGCCCGTTCTATGTCGGTCAAGAAAATGCTACTTCAACCGGCGGGATCCCCGTCACCTTTTCGCCTTACATGGAGGAAGAAAGCGTGGTGAGAGAGTTGAGGAATTTCAAGGTCGAGTTCTCCGGGAACACGACGTGTAATCAGTCGACGGTGTGGAAGGTCGGCGAGGTCGATCTGGTGACCGAAACCAGATTGATTGGGACGGGAGATAACGCGAGTTTTCTAAACTACTTTTCGGTTGACAAAGGGGAAGAAGAACCACTGGTTAATGGCTCTTATGGCTTGAGATGGTGTCCTACTCAACTGTGCCCTTATTGCAGGTTCGCATGTGCGTATGTCGATGTTTTGGTTGAGAATGGTACGCGGTTGTTGTCGTTGAACGAAACTGCTGCTTTCCCTGTCGTGTTTGAGCGAGCTACAATATAATTAAATAGTAGTCTTATATGGAAATGAGGTTGTGATCTTAGTAATATTATTTATTAATGTGGTCTATTAATAGTGAATAAATTAGAATTTTGAATAAAGCTATATATAGTAGTAGCTATATAATAGCAGGCATGTGAGCATACGCTTGTTAATTGATCAGGACTTCATCTCTTGTATATGTCTATTCTTACATTGTTATTTGTATCAATAAATAAATATTTATTCATTATTTTTTTAATGAAATTACGTTGCTATTTCTGGTCTGATCTATTGTGTGACTGTTATATGTGCAAATTATAATTCGTTTTGTTTGCCAATGCTCGATGAACATAAATGGATATCATAATTGTTGCAAATTAAGGCTTGGTGTATGTTAAGTATAATATTGTTGATTGAAACGAGGAAATGGTTGGAATTTATAAATTAATAAACCAGAGATATGTTAGGAACCAAAGAGACAAGCGAAAATAATGTCAGAACTAACTAAAGTGAATTTTAAGGCCATGTTTGGTAGCTTGTATTGTATTGCATAAGTGTATTGTATTGTGTTGTATTATGTTGTATTGTTATAATACAATACGGTATTTAGTATCATGACGTATTGCACAAGGCGTCTAAATGTAAAATTTTTAAAATTTTAAGGTCAAAATGTAATTTTTAAAAAAATCTAGGATCAAAATATAATTTTTCAAAATTTGGGAATCAAAATATAATTTTACAAAAAAAAAAAATTGGGGTCAAAATAAATTAAGTCAAAATGTAATTTATAAAATTGAGGGGATAAAAATATAATTTTTAAAAAATATAAATTCGCATTGTGACCCTTAATTTTTAAACAATTATAGGCTCCGACAGACTCCATGTCGGCCCAAACCTCTAGTCGTGCTCAACTCCAATATGAATCATAAATCTAATATAAAATAACACAATACAATACAGATAAGCTGTATTTAATAATACGATATAGAACTTATTAATTTACTATTCACATTAACTTATACAATACGACAGCCACACTAAATATTATATTATTATATTATTATATAATACAGTATTTTAATACAGTCAAACAAATATGTCTTTTTACTTTCTAATTTATACACCAGGTACGCACGTCTTGCCTAGTGAAACATGCCCTCTTTGCCTATTATCAATAATCGCGGAAGCTTCGAAATCATATGAGAAAACAGTTTTGGAAAATGTAATTTTGATTTTTCTGCTTACGTATATACGGGCCCGCCCACAGGCACGTTAACATTCACACTATGTGCAGTTTTCATTGATTTCGTTGATTACCCCAATTCCACATTGTTTTGTTTCCAACGTTCTACTAGTCAAGAGGTTTGAAACTTTCTTTTTTGTATTTGTTAATCATCCCTTTTTTTTCATACCCTATGCATTTAGTTTTAAACATATAACTTATTAGGTGTCGCTATGTGCGGTCGATGTTAAAAGTTCTACGTATACCTTGTTAGTGCTAGGAATTAGACTCATATGTCTCCATTTTTCTGTTTATTTTTATTACTTTCAATTCATGTCATACAAATTAAAATATTTTAACTTGCATGGCTTTTATTTAATTCTTTCGGTAGGTCTTTTTTTTCTTAATTACAGCACAAAGAACTAATTGAGTAAGAGAGGAAGAGGTTACATGGCTTGTTATTTAAAAAGCATTAACCTTTTTCCAATAGTCATCATTAGAACATCTTTAATGCAATATTAATTGAGTGCAAAAAATACTCTTCAATATTGCAATGCTATTGGTTGTGCAAATTTCTCATATGCTATTTTGTGGTAAATTTCCCACCATATATAGCATGTAGAAATAGTTAAAATGTTTACTTTTTTATATAATTATTGTAACTTTTTCATTTCTAACTTTTTTTTTAAAAATAAAAGTTTACTTTTACAACTTTCAAAGTTTAATAATTATCAGAAAAAAATAAATTTAGTATTTCAAATAACATTATGCATTAGAGCAAAAATGAAAATAACATGTCATATTATACTTTTTGATGCCAAATATACAATTAGCATTATTATTTGCATTAGAGATGGTCTTATAAGATGTGTGATCAAAATTCTACCATCCCTATTGTTTTGAGGAACTTATCTACAATGTTTGTTATTTTCAAAAGAAAAAAAAAAGAACTCAAATTTAGAAATTAAAGAATTGGGATAAAATTATTTTGGTATCTTGTGTTATATCGAAACATGCTCTTGGTACCCTGTGTTTTTTATAATATTAAAATGATACCTTAATGGTTTTAAAAACATCTTCTTGGTATACTGAAGCTGATTTTTTAGATGTAAAATGACCTTGTACCCTTCTATTTAATTAACCAAAAACTAATAAATCTAAGAAAAATCATGAACTTTTTATTATTTTTATTTTCTTTTAAAAACTTTAGTGTTTTTAAAATATTTTCAGATTTTTTAAAAAAACATTGGTTTCTATTTAATTAAAGAGAATGGTAGTTTGGACATTATATGTCTTAAAATCAGTTTAAGGGTACTAAGAAGATGTTTTTAAAAACGTCGAGTTATCATTTTAATATTATAAAAAATACATGATAATAAAAGTATGTTTCGTTATATCACATAGTACCAAAATAATTTTATCTCTAATGAATTTATTATACACAGTAAGCATTGTGTTTTTCTCTTTCTGGTAGTACATATTGTTCAAATAACTTTTTAGCAGTTTTATCTATAATTAAAAATAAATGTATGTTGCACGTTGCAATTTTTTTAACGTGAACATTCATAAATAAAACTCTTGAAAATTTAGTCCAACAATTGCAACAACAAGTTTTACACAATATATAAGAAAAAATGCAGTCTATACCATAAAAGTTCCTTAGCAAACAATAATACAATTGCTAATCGCAAGAGCATCTATTTGTCAAATTTTCATCTGAAAGAAAAATGTAGAAACCTCAAAAGTGATTTTGGCTTCAACTTCTATTATGTTTTTTTTTTTTTTTTTTTTTTTTTTTTTTTTTTTTTTTCCCCCCCTATAAAAAAAAAAAAATTTTTCTATTATATATATATATATATATATATTTTTTTTTATCCCGCTGATAGATAAAACAAAATATATTTAATTCAACCAAATTATAATTATAAGATAACCTCATGTATGGATCAACTTTAATTTCTTTACGGAAATTGAAAGACCAATAATATTTAAATATGTTTCGCAGTGCTTCTTCATGGACTATCAACAGGGAAAAAAGGAAGAAAGAAAAAAAAAAGAAAAAAAAAGAAGTCGTGCCTATCCATGTGATACGTGAGGTTTTTGAACTTTGTAGTTAGTTAGGCAATCTAACCGGAGACTTGAAATTCAAATCACATCAGGAAAAATATTTATACCTTTTTATTTATTCAACATTATGGGTAGGTTTCTCAAACGGTAAAATAATATAATAAGAAAAGTAGTGCAGGGATAAAAACATAAAATAAAAGAATAAGAAATAAATACTAACATCAGTTATACTCAAAAATAAAAAATAAAACCAACATAAGTTGTAAACTTTTTTTTAGGAAAAAAATCGACGGGAACATAAATTAACACAAAAAAAAAAAGAACCAATTGAGTTGTTTACTTCTTGGTTTAAATATTTCTGCCAAATAAGTAAATTAGTTGTCGACCTTAATAAGCTCGTGAGAAATCCCCATAAAAAAATTTCTCATGCGAAATGTAATAACAGATAAACTTAAAAATTCAAAGCAATATGGCTAAACTAGAATACTCAAACAGAATTTCATATACGAGAGGAGAGAGAGAGAGTATAAAATATTTCCATTCAATGATTCCTATTTGGAAGTTTATGAGATTTGAGGAAGTTGGAGGGAGATAAATTTTTAAGGGAAAAAATTTTCAGAGAATGGTAAAATCCGAAAATCAAATTCGTTCAAATACTAAAAATTTCTTACGCCTCATCATGTCAAGAAGGTATCTTTTTTTTTTTTTTTTTTTTTTTCCCGTTTCCAAACAATTTCCTGATACTTACAAGCGTTGGGAAATTTTTTGCGATCAAATTTCTGACGCCACATAGCATCGAGAAATTACATGTCGAATCTCATAAACTATCCGACACAGACGTCGGCAATTTAGGTCTCGTTCATTTCATCAATTTAAGTTTAGAATTCGAGTTTTACTACAGTAAAATACTCCCAGAAATAGTCACATCTAATTTTTTTACTACAGTAAAAAACTCTCACATAAAATTACATCTAAATTCGAATTAAAAACTCAAATCAGCGAACTAAACGACCCTTAATTACTAAAAACTTCCCAACACTCGTAGGCATTAAGAACGTTTTGGTCAACAAAAGCACCCTGATAAATGACCAAATAAACGTGTTGACGTCACCGTTTTGAGATAGTGCCGGTAAATGTTAATGTTTCCAACGCTATATCAGTAATTACTCGTTTTTTTGTGGTGACTCTATATATTATCCGTACCTAGATATTAACTGATTTTCTCAAATAAGAATCCTAATTAGACAAGACTTTCTTATTTAAGTATACCTGCAATAACCTTTTGAAGAAGTTTCAAATACGTGTCCCATCGTAAAGACAATTGACTTTAATTAATTTATGCGGAAAATAAATGGATAACTTTAATTTGACCAACCACTCCTGGCGTTTCGTTAATACTTGAAGACTCAACTATATCTTATTATTCAAACATGAAACACGCATACGAGTACAATTGACCACAATCATGCATGAATGGTGCATGGTCATATTAATTGAAGGTAATAAACACTTGCGGTACAAGTTACTTCTCCATTAATGGATAAGACTTGTGGACTTTTATTTACCAACCATTTCTTCTTGTCATGTATACACTTCACAACGTCATATACCTATAATATAGAGTCCGTTTAGTTCGCTGATTCAAATTTTTAATTCGAGTTGAGATGTGACTTTATGTAAAAAAATTTTATTGTAGTAAAAAAATTAGATGTAATTATTTCTGAAAGTTTTTTACTGTATCAAAACTTGAATTTTAAATTCGAATCGGTAAAATGAAGAGAGCCTATCTTTACCAACTATGAGAAGAAATTAATAAAAACACCTACTTCAAATTTTTAATTCGAGTTGAGATGTGATTTTATGTAAAAACTTTTTATTATAATAAAAAAATTAGATGTAATTGTTTCTGAAAGTTTTTTACTGTATCAAAACTTAAATTCTAAATTCGAATCGGTAAAATGAACAGAGCCTATCT